AAATATAGTCCCATTCTGACGTACTGGGGCTTAGGACTTCAACATATATGAATTTAGGGTGGGACACAATTCAACTAACACAGCCTATTTACATCTGACTTACAGCTCAAAAAAAAAAAAAAGGCAGGAAAGTGATTATTGGATATCAGAGGTAAACTCCAGCTCCTTTAGGCAGTCTAGTGAAGCTATCGTAAAAAAAATAGAAAATATGATCATATAAACAGGAAACAGAAAAGTAAGTTTGGGGTACAACAGGTAACCAGGATTAATTTTACTAATCAAAGGACAATCTATAGGCAACTCCTATAGCGTCCTAGACTACACCAAAATCATTACATTTTTAGATAACATTCTAGCCACCTAAGAGTATCGTGTTTAAAATACGATATTTTACATACTTTGGAACCTGCAGAAAATAATCCTAAACTAGAAAAATATTTACATTTTCACATTTCAACAAACAGATGAAATGTGTTCAGACTGATAGATCATGATCTACACAAGTGCTATCAACTCTAAAGTGCAGGTCACCATGCTCAGCTAGAACACATCTCATTTGTTCCCACGCCTCTCAACTAAGGCTCCCTGCTGTTCCTCTGACTCACAACCACTCACCTTCAGTGGTCACCAGGAGTGGAGAGGCTCCTGGTGGAAGGAGTGCTGGCTCTTGAATCAGACTTACCTACATTCAAAGCTCACTTATTCCAGCTGTGTAGTACTTATACCAGGTAAGCCATGTAGTCTTTTAAAGTCAGTTTCCTCTTCTGTGGTGGTTATCAGTGCCTATAAAAGAGAGCTGGTCCCAGATTTAAAAATAATGTATATAAAAGCACGTGGGAAGCATCTAATAAATGGTGTCCATAGAGGTGGCCTCTCGAGATGAAGGCAATAGAATAAAACATCTACCTTTATAGAAGCTAAGTTTCCCTTTCCCTCCAAGAAAGAGAAGGAGCCTTTGTGCTTCTAGTAATTCCCTCACTCCTGCATTTTCTTTTGGTAATCTATTTCAATTTTTGTGGCCAGTTATGTTTTAGGTATTTATACACCTATTTCTTTTGCCAATAATCATCCATACAAGTACCTATGATTTTCACAGTGTCAGTGTCAGAAAAACCAACATAATTAAATCTAATAAAATAACATTTTTCTAAAGCTGCTTATTTAAATTATATTAAATACTTATATTGAATCCAAGGGTTGATATTTCATGAAGTAGCTTCAATCTCAGTTTTAAGCTATTTGATGAAAAAAAAACTCTGTGATTCAATATAAGTATTTTAGTGCATTAATCTTCAGAAATATTTCTTTCTGAAGATTAATGCACTAAAATATTTACACCAAGCATATCAAAGATAGGACTATTTATAGAGTTTACCTGAAAGAATTGCAGCTTTAGGCATGGGAGGTAACAGAAATGTTACCTCTAATATCCTCCTTTTTTGAGGGAAGAAGTTATGAAAGAGAAGTCAATCTCTGAGATGGATTTGATATGCACAATAAGCTAGTCTATCTGGGCTCACAAGTGATTTTGGAATTAACAAATACGTGTCTATACTGGCGATTGGAAGAAGATATATGGGCTCCATTAGGATGATACTGCTTATATAATCTTGATTCTTGACAAGTAAGAAACTTTTCTAATTTTTATTGGTTTTTCTGAACTGTCTGGTTGAACTCTAGAAGGTAAGCAGGGCCCCCAGAGTCCTTACAAATAGATTTATTTCCTTTGGAAGAAATAGATCTTCCTTATATTTTTGGATATCTTAGATTCATCTTTCTCTTTGACTATGTAGACATAGAACAAGCTCTTAAAAGAACTATTTTATTTTCCTTTCAAATTCTTCCTCCTGCATAGCTAAATGCATAAACCCTCGCTTGCTTTAGTGACTTCTAAGTGAGACTGCAGCCTTGTCATTTTTTCTTTACTGAGTTGTTCTGAGGAAGAAAATTTAAATTGATTATTGTCTTATCTAGTTCCTTGATGGTACTTTACCACACCCAAGTCCAATAAAATATTGATGAAGCGGTAACACTGAAGACTATCTCATGATTCAGAAACTCAAAACTGTAAAAAGCTTTTGTCTCATAACAATATTTAGAAGGACAACTCAATAGGTTAGAGGGGCAAGACTGACATGCAAACATCCATCACATTTTATTGAACAAATTAAAATAGATTTAATCTTTAATGTGTGTCCCTAGAACAAAATTTGCTGGATATAATTGTTGATTATATGCTCAGCAGATTGGCTAATTACTTTAGGCAGATGCTTGATGCATATTAATTTGGATTCCATGATGATTATAACTATCTTTAGTTTACAATGTAGCCTCCACTTAGCACAGTCTTGTAACGATAAGGATGTTCACTTGAAATATAACTGCTGGCAATTCTGTAGGGGACAGGATGGCATCATGGAGCCCTGAACTACAGTAGGAATCTAGATTCTAACATTCAGCAGACCACGTGGTCTTAGACCAGTCGGTTAAGTCTCGTAATCATGCCAGGCACATCTGCCGCACAGGAATATGGTGTGAATCCAGGGAGCAAAAGCATTATCATGGGGAACCACAAAAGGAATAGCTTCTCAAACACATTTCCAAAGTAGCACCTTACTAACAATTGTCTGAAGGCAAAATGTTAATTGGTGGTTCAAAACACTTTAGGGAATTAAAAAACTGATATTTCCACGTGTTGGCAATGATGTGAAGCAACTAGAATTTTCATACATTGCTGGTGAGACTATAAAATGCTACAATCACTTTGGATATTGGCTTGGTAGTTTTTTTAAAGTTAAATATGCATTTACAGTATGATCCAGTGATCACCACAATTCCACTCCTAGGTGTTTACATAAGAGAAGTGAAAACACAGGACACACAAAGGCTTGTTTATAACAGCTTCATTCATGAAAGCTCCAAACTAGAAATAACCCAAATGTACCTCAACTGATGAATGGGGTAAACGATTTATATCATAGATTTAGATATAGATATATACTATATATACCATTCAGCAATAAAAAAGGAATGAGCTACTGATATATGCAACAAAATGGATGGATCTCAAAAATAGTATCTGAGCAAAAGAAGCCAGGTACAAAAAAAAAGTACATCCTGAATTACTCCATTTCTAGATTCATGTCAAACAAGTCCATAGGCAGAAAGCAGAGCAGTGGTTGTCTGGGGCTGGGAGTTCAGGGAATACTGATTGCAAAGGGAATTAGGGAATTTTGTGGAATAATGGGGAGGTTCTATATCTTGCTTAAGATGGTGGTTCCACGGGTGTATATTTTTGACAAATTCATCAAACCGTATGCTTGAAACGGATTGTATTTTATTATGTGTAAATTATATCTCAATAAAGTTCAGTGAAAGAAATGAACACAGACACACACATACACGCACACATTGGGAAAGCAATGGCAAAGGTGGCATTGTAACATTTCAGGCTCTCACATCCTGAGAAGGTGGCTAGCACATCAAAGTTCAGGGCCTGATCTGATTCTACTCCCAAGGCTGAGTTCCTTCCATAAAAACCTTCCTACCCCCCTGTGAGTGTGATGATGGCTATGAAAGCACTTTGTAAGCCAAAAAGCGCTGTGTCCAGTTAACAAAGGTGGCAGATGGCCCCTGCTAAGGCCTCCTCTGCACCTGCTCAGGGTCCTGGGCTGCCCTCTGTGTCAGCTTTCTAGGAGGGCAAGACACGGATCAGAAGAGATGCTTCCCCGGCCTTAAGTGTTCCTGGCACCCGCACTCACTTCCCCTTCCTCTCTCCTTCCTCTCCTCAGCGGAGCTCTTCTCACCTCTCAGAACAACAGTCCTTTGATAACCTGTGAAGGAGTCATGAATAAATGGACATAAAAATAGAGTTCCTTAAGTCACACAGAATTTTTTAAATGAAGTAAATTCTTACTTGTGACTAAGAGCTTGAGCCCAGGGTCAGAGGTCATCCAGGGACCAGCTCCTCCACACCTACCAGATGTACCTAAAACACCTCTAACCTCTCAGTGCCTCAGCTTTCTTGTTTATATTTTTTAAAAAGCAGTCAAATTAATAACCCACACCCTGGCCGGTGTTTCTCAGTGGCTAGGGTGTCGGCCTGCACACTGAAGGGCAGCAGGTTCAATCCCCGGTCCTGGTCAGGACGAGTGTGAGAGGCAACTGACCCATATGTCTCTCTCACACTGATGTTTCTCTCTCTCTCTCTCTCTCTCTCCCTCCCTCCCTCCCTCCCTCCCTTCCAC